ATATTGAAATTTGCAGCTTATAATGTCATTAAGAGAAATTCCCGGGCTGGTTCTATAATTACAAATTTCAAACGTTAATGCTCTGTCCTCGCTAATGTATCGGCCCTACTCTGCCGGGAATTCTCGTTAATGGGACCATCTACCCTTTTTTTATTTCCTGGTCGGTTGTTGTTGACGTTGTGTTGTTGTTGTTGTATTGTTGTTGTTGTTGTTCTTATTGTTGTATTGTTGTTGTTTTTCTTGTTGTTGTTGTTATGTTGTTGTTGTGTTGATGTTACTGAAACTGTTGTTGATGTTGTTAGTTAGTTGTCGCTGCCAGGTTCATATTGTTTCTGTTTGTCATGAGCAAGGGAGTTTCTGTTTCGCGGGCTTTTTTACGTCATTAGGACGTTGATTTCAGTCGAAGGCATGATTTCTTTCTATTACCGTCACACCATTTGTCAGTAATTTGAAAAAAATTATTAATAAAATTACAACAAATTTCATCTGCAATTTTTTTTCAGTATCAATACCAACGACCAAACGATGTATTTACAGATGCTAGATTAGCCTGTTACATATGCTATAACAGCATGTTACGGATGTTGCATCAGCTGAAATAAAAGTTAATACCATCGCCGTTTATATAGTTGAGACGGGAATGGTAATGGAAAGAGAGAAAGAAAGCATGAAAGAAAGAAAGAAGGAAAGAAAGAAAAAAAGAAAGAAAGAAAGAAATAAAGAAAGAAAAAAAGAAAGAAAGAAAGAAAGTAATAGTAGTAGAAATAGTAGTCGTAGTAGTATGCAAATAATTTTTGTTGGGTTTTTCCATATGGGGAAATCTTTCTATTTATAGCATCGGCCGCGTCACCAATAAACTAAGGAATCGGCCGAAACAAAGGCTCAAAAAATTGCAGTGTGGATGCAACTATGACGTCATCATAAACTCAAATCACGTGACAATAACAAAGACGGAGGATGGAAAGAAAAAAGTAAGATGGTGATGATAGTGAAATTGTGTATAACTGTGGTGATAATTATGATGACGGGAAGGAGGAAGAGGATGTTGATGACGATGATGATGACGATGATGACGATGATGACCGTAGTTAAAGTAAATGCTATGATGAGCATGTCACTATGACGTAACTTCAAGTTAAGATGCCAAACAATTAAAAAATTTAATATTTCCTGGCGAATAACACACTTTAATACACTCTGTTGTTTAACCATGCTTTAACATTAATAATAAATCTTATATTTATATATATATATATAAATGAAATACAAATGATTAAATAAATTATATTATTTTAATATAATATTGGGGTATAATATAATTACGTCAACCGAACAATCCTGGCATCTATATTATCTCAGATTACAAGTGCGAGTATTATAAACAGACATTAAACGCGCATGAATACAAGCAGAAGAGCGCATACCCCTCAAACATAATAATACAGATACCCACTCACATTTCGTATTTGCGTACACGTGTGTGTATAATACATTTATACATGTTGCACTTATAAGTACCTGTATACCATACAACGAATGTACATACATTTATGTATTTGATGTAGCCAATAGATAAAATTTCCTGTAAAAATGAAATAAATGTTTCTATAAAATGCCGAATATCTATCTGATTTTTATAAATATTTACAAAAATTATGTCTGCTTCAAAATTAAAAAAAATTTTTTTTATATTTCTGCGACGATATTAACATTTGAATTACGAACTCCACATGGACATAATTATTTTCGAGGCAGACGCATACATATCAAGATTAAAAACATGCGTGTGTGCGTATTAAAACCACACACGCACACTGATTTCAAGCACGCATCTTAGCTCTACAACACGCACGCAACCTATAAATATAATTTCATTCTTTTATATACTTAATTTGAAGTTTTGCTAGTTTATTTTCATCTATTTATTTTACATTTAATTTGTTTTTCTATTTTAAATAAAATTTATTGCGTGTAATATTGCATTTTTGCGTCTGAACATTCATTAACATATCAAGATCTACAACTTAGGCGTAAAATTGCTTTTGTTAGGCTAAGGCAGCTGGAAGCTTTGAATTTTTTTTCAAAAAATCTAAAAAGAAACTTGTGTGCTTTGTTTTGCATCAACACGTCATTTCTCTTCTTTTATCATCTTCCTTTTTACTTTCCGTTCCAATTTTTCATCTACAGTTTATTTAATTTTTTTTTAATTTTTTATGTTTCATTTTGTTTCAACTGGTTTGTTTTTTTTATTCCTCCATTTGTTTCACCCCTGCTTTTTCTTCCACCTTCTTCAACTTTTTTACACATTTTATAGCACCTCAAACACGCCATAAATCTGTCACGTAACGCTTCGGGTGTGTGCAAGCAAAATATAGGATACAACACGTCCTCACGCACACCAGCACACACACTACCACACACATAATCAGATACACCACATACATACATAATCACACACCATCACACACACATAATCACACACACACATAATCACACACACACACACACTACCACACACACCAAACCTCACACACCACTCCACCACATACACAAACACACACACTCACCATCATACGCACTTTTATACGCACCATTAAACAATTAATTTGACAAAAAAGTCAAAACTCAAAGAAAATAGCAAATAGCAAATATACGAAATAGGAATAAAACGATTGAAATGGCGAAAACTCTAGTCAAATAAAAAATTAAATGAAAATAATAAATTAATAAATTAAATAACAATATAATAAATTAAAAAAAGAATAAGATTAATAAATAAAAAATTAAAAAAAGAATAAGATTAATTATTTTCCTCATCATAATTGCAAATAAATCAATGAGACAAGCGATAGAACAGAACGTGGTCCACAAGGTTGTTGCTAGATTAGGTTTCGTTATACTCTGCTAAGAAGGTGTTAACTGCGTATGTATGTGTGCGTGAATGCGTATGTATGTGTGCGTGTATGTGTGTGAGCATGCATGTGTATATATGTATATGTCTGAATGTTTAATAAGGCAACAATGGACGTTGTATTAATTTTGTATTAATTAGTTTTTAAAACCAGATTTTTCTTCTCATTTAGAAGAGATTGAAAAATACACCAAAAAACCAAAATTTATAAAAAAATTCTACAATGCAAATATAGCCAAAGCATACCTGGCACTTGAATTTGGCTAATAGCGGATTTTTTCTCATCACAATTAGTACCCTTGAATGTATCCCGTTGTAGTAACTCGCGATTCTTATGTAACTTTCAAGTTGTGCGAGAGTGAAAAGTTGTGACTTTTTTAAATAATAAAATACTTGAAGAAACTGCCGACATCTTGTACAGTCAGTACGCAAGTATTCAAGTACCCAAGTATGAATTTCTCTTTATAGGCTTGAAACAGCAATGAAGCGATTAAAAACCCGCCAATTGAAATACTCATAAAAACTCATTCCATTCTTGTCCTAACTTCGTCCAGTCACACACAAACCGAGATCATTTTATAATAATATTTATAGTGGATTTAGTTGAACTAAGTTATTAGGATTAGGAAATCCTAATAACTTTAAATAAGCAAGAAACGTTATTTCATTAATGCGGTGCCTATCATTTTCAACGTTTCAAAGAAAAATGTTTCAACTTTTTTCATCTTGAATAACTTCTCACAAATATCTAAAATTTTATTTAAAAACAGTTTAAAAACATTATTTTGCTGCTCTAAATTGTTTCTTTTTAATTAATTATATTAAAAAGATGAAAAAATGATCAAATTTTGAAATTTTTTGAAGCGTTTGGGGAGGAGATTGAACTTCAAAACTCCTCCCCACTGACTGTGCCCATAATTCATGTATAAGATAAATATGAAATTATTTGACATATAAAAACTATTCATTCAAATGCCTAGTTACATTTATATTTCAAATTTTTGAGAAAGCATCTAAATTTTTGATGAATAAATTGAAAAGAAGAAATGTTATTGTAGTTTAAACATTTTAAAACATTAATTTGTAAATTAGATCAATACGTCGCCATTGTTAAAATTTTACTTTTTGAAAATTTCAGAAAAAGAAATTTAAACTTTCAAAAAATTTAAAACAAAACAAAAATGTAAACAAAAATTTATCGCAGCAAACATACACACACATACATACAAACAAACAAACAAACAAACAAACAAACAAACAAACATACATACATACATACATACATACATACATACGTATGGAGAGTACAAAGTATGAAGAGCTTGTTAGTGAGATAAAACAACGTGGGTTAAGGTGTTTGTTGTACACAGTTGAGGTCGGTGCAAAAGGTGTTGTTGGTTGTTCAGTGTACAGCTTTTTGAAGAATTTGGGTTTGGCAGGTAAAAGACGATCGAGTTGTATGAAGGACATAGGACATACAGCCGAACAAGCATCTTACTGGATTTGGTTATGTAGGAAGAAAAAGACATCCGATGACTCACACTCCCTGTTTGGGCTTAGCGTGTTAATTGGCTCGTCGATATAACTCACATCGTGATATGTTTATTTGTGAACTGTCTGGCACGCCGACACAATATTTCAGTATAAAAAGAGGTGATTTCAAAGCGAGGCAAATTGTTTGTTCAGCAAGAGACATCCAACTGATCTTTGGATGTGACCCTGTTTCTCGAGTGTGTCAGAAAGTTAGAGAGTCGAAACACTCGTTGACGGAAACTCTTCCTTTGAAGACTCTCGCTGAACGCTGGTTATGTTCAAGTTTCTACATTCCTATATACAAACATACATACATGCATTATCGCTCATCGGTAGCACGTGCAGGCCACATTTTGATTTGCTCCGTATATTTTCTTAATTTCATAGTTTAAAATCGAGTATTTAGTTTAAATTTAATTTCATTTGATAGAGAAAATTTTGACGAATATTTATATATATTTTTTCTCCGTTTAAAAGTTTAATTTAGTGCTGTTTTTGCTGTTTTTTTCGTTTTGGAACTCACCCGGACAACGAACAACACAACAATCAAATTAATATGGCTTCAAAATGTACGAAAACAAAATGTGTGAAATCAGGAAAAGATAATTTGCAATGCATTCAATGTTATCAGTGCGAAAATAAATTTCACATAAAATATGTTGGTTTGAGGGATGAAGCTTTTGAAGTGACACGTGGTTTCGATAGTTTTAAATGGTTTTGTGATATTTGTCTGAAGAAGTTATGCAACGTTAAAACTCTCTCTAAAATAGTCAGTGACAACATGATGAAATCAACTTAAGAGTCGAAAAAATTAACGAAATGAACGGTTTGCTAAAAAATGAACTTAAATTGATAAAAGAGATGTTGAACAGTAACAGTGCAAAATTAGATAGCCTTGATAGGCCTGATAGCAAGTTATCTGCCGAGATCAGCACATTCAAAAGTGATTTGAAATCTTCTTTTGCTACTGTTGGCCAAGAAGTGAAGAAAAACATTGAGTGTGTCAATCTGGAAGTTAAAACGGTTAAAAAAAAATTAACTGAGTCAATTGATATAAAAGACAGAGAAAGAAATATAATAATTTTCCATTTACAAGAAGGTGAAGATGATAAAATTCGTGTTAAAAATATTTTGTTAAAATTGTCTGATGATATAAAAGATTCACATATAAAATATGTTACAAGACTTGGGAAGAAAAATGAATCATCCACACGTCCAATATTGATAGTGTTGGATAGTTTGATGTCTAAAGAGACCGTGATGAAAAATGCACACAAATTGAAATTAATGTCGGTCGAACTGAGTAAAGTCTGGATTAGCAATGATCTGACACCTGAGCAGAGAAGTTAATTAAAAAAACTGGTAACTAATGCAAAATCGAAAGAAGCGGCATACAAAGACAATTTTGTATACAGAGTCAGAGGTCCTGTGGGAAGATGGCGGATTGTGAAGTTCAGAAATTAACTGATGAGGGTGTTGTTGACTGGAGGGCTAGTCGGAGGATGATTCATGCTACAGCTCAAAAATTAACTATGAAAAATTACAATGATTTAAAAATTGGCCTGGGGCTCCTCAACATAAGATCTATAATATCAAAATATGAAATGGTGTGTGATATAATTTGTGGAGAATTGGATATTCTTGTATTAACTGAAACATGGCATGGGTCGTCAGATGAGTTTGCTGTTCGATGCGCGATGCCCCCTGGTTATAAGTTTGTAGATTACGTCAGACCTCACGATCCATATCATGGCGGAATTATAATTTATTTCAAGAAAGAGTTCATTTATAAACCTGTTGAGTTACCCGCCGTGATAACTTTTGAAGCTGTTGCAATTAAATTGAGAGTAAACAAATCTGATTTTATTTTGTTATCAATTTATAGACCTGGATCGGTTCCTCCTTCACCATCGTTCTTTTCAGAGCTAGCGAATGTTTTAGAAGTTTTATCTCTGTTAAGTGATAAAATCGTTGTTGCGGGAGATTTTAATGTTCATATGGAGAGAAAAGATGATCCAAACACAGTCTCACTGAATGAGGTTTTCGATTGTTTTCAGTTGGTTAACAGGATTAACGAACCAACGCATGAATTAGGTGGTGTTTTGGACTTGATCGTTACTTCTCGCTCTTTTCCTATCTTTAATAGTTTGATTTTTCCCAGTGGAGTGTTATGAGATCATGGAGGGCATGGCCCTCCAATCGGGGATTTCGAAATTAACAATGCGAGATTTTCTTCATTTATGCGTCGCCAGGATCGAACCATTTTTTGTTTCTATATTATCATCTTGGCATGGCCCTCCATGGAACCATCGAACCATGGAGGGCCATGCCAAGATGATAATATAGAAACGCTTGTGAATGAACTGAAGAGAATTGCGGACATAATAGCTCCAGAACACGTGGTTGAAAGTCGAGATGATTCGTTGACGCCGTGGTTTGATGGAGATTGTTCAAAGTCCAAGGCATACTGTAGAAAAATGGAAAGAAAGTACAGAAAGACTTTAAATCATCACGATAGGGAGGTGTGGAAAAATGCTCTGCGATCAAAAAATATTTTATTCGCCCAGAAAAAAAATTTGTTTTGGAAAAAAATCATTTTTGAAAATAACAAAAATCCTAAAAAAATTTGGACTGTGGTAAATAAACTGTTGTGCAAAGAAAAAACTTCAAATTCATCTACCAATTTTGAAGCGAACGATTTTGCTACATTCTTTTATGACAAAATTAAAAATGTACGAGAATCGATGGTGTATGATGAGAAGTTTAATCATTCATCTGGTGTCTGCTGCAGCAACTTGTTTTCAGTTTTTCCTGTTTATGACGAAAGCGAAATTGTTGAAGCAGTTTTGAACTCTCCATCTAAAACATGTTCACTGGATTGTGTTCCTTCACACTTTTTCAAAAAATATGTAGAATTGTTTTCAAAATATTTGACTGATTTTATAAACTTATGTTTACGTACTGGTGAGTTTCCGGCTATGTTAAAGCATGCTACAATTTCTCCTCTTTTGAAAAAGGAAAAATTAGACAATTCTGATCTTAATAATTATAGACCGGTTTCAAATCTGTCGTTCTTGTCAAAATTAATTGATAGATTAGTTTCTAAGTAGCTTATGAAACACTTAGATAAAAACAATTTGTTACCGGTATATCAGTCAGGCTATAGAAGACATCATTCTACCGAAACTGCTTTGTTGCATGTGTTATCTTAGTTGCATGAAAATATAAACAACAGTAAACCATCTCTTCTTGGATTCTTAGATATGAGTTCGGCATTTGACTGTGTTGACCATTGCATTCTTCTGAAACGTCTTAATCATAGATTTGGAATAACTGGCTCTGTCGAACAATGGTTTCGGTCGTACTTAACAAACAGAACTCAACAGGTAATCTACAAGAATAAGACCTCTTTGGTTCAAACGATAAGATTTGGTGTTCCACAGGGCTCGGTTCTCGGACTGATCTTGTCTATTCTTTACACCTCTGAAATTATTGAGGCGATCGGATTACATGGTTTGGAGTGTCATGCATTTGCAGATGATATTTAGCTACTCGCCACAAAATCCTATAGCAACTTTCATCTTACAGTTGATCGTTTTGTTGAATGTTTGGTCGAGATCGAGAAATGGATGGCAAATAATCGTCTTAAGCTCAATCAAAGTAAGACGCAAATTCTTCTGGTTGGAACTTGGCAACAGCTGTCTAGAATTAAAATTAATTCAGTTATCATTGAGGGCTCAAATATAAACTTCATTCCCAAAGCTACAAACTTGGGTGTCATTATTGATTCTAGACTGGCAATGACTGAACATATCAAGTTTTTATCTGGTACTGCAACCCTACAACTGCGAAAATTAAAAATAATCCGCAAAAGCTTAACCAAAGATGTTATTCAAAGTTTAGTGCATTCGTTTATTCATTCTAGACTGGATTACTGCAACAGCCTATTTTATGGTTTGGCTGAAAAATCGTTATCTGTGCTTCAGTCAATTCAGAATCGGGCAGCTAAGATCGTGGTTGGTGCGAAAAAGTTTGACCATGTCACCCCGATATTCAGAGAACTGCACTGGTTGATGGTCAAAAAAAGAATTTTGTTCAAAATATCAACAATCATTTTCAAATGTATAAAGGGAATGGCGCCAGTTTATTTTAAAGAAATGCATGCACCGAAACAACTGTCTTTTAAAAATGTCTGCTTAAGGTCTGATGATAGCAACTTGTTATGTGTGCCCCAAACCAACTTGAAAATGGCTGAGAGAAGTTTTTCAGACTGACAGAAAAATTGTTCAAGAAATCATTGAAATCATTTTTGTTTTCATTATAATATTTTAAGATTTTGTTTATCGTAGCAATTCAAATGTTTTTTTAGACTGCTTTTGAGAAACCTTTTGTTTGTAATTAGCGCTATACAAATTTTCGAATAATAATAATAATACATACATACATACATACAGTGCCACATACACGTGTCAAAATACACATGTGCGTGCGTGTTTGCGTATCAACAACAACTACAACAATAATAACAACAGCAACAAAAAAGAACAGCAACAAAAAATCCGAGTCTACTTTGAAATTGAATAGATGAAAAAATTCATCTTGGCAGTCTCCAACATGGCTTGCAGTATCAGACTCATGAATTATTGAGAGGATTTGCTGCAAAAATGCACGAGAAGTAGCGTTTTATCACCACTGGCGTTTAATCATTTCTTTAATATCTAATTTCGTTAACCTACCTCTTAAAGCATTCAATGATCCAGTGTGTATGTTTGTGTATGTATGTGTGTGTGTGCGTCTGTGTGTACGTGTGTGTGCGCGTCTGTGTGTATGTGTGTGTGCCGTGTCACCACTGGCGTTTAATCATTTCTTTAATATCTAATTTCGTTTGATAGTTTCAAATGATTCAGTGTAAGTGTGTGTGTGTGTGTGTGTGTGTGTGTGTGTGTGTGTTTGTGTGTGTGTTTCTGTGTGTGTTTGTGGGTTACAAATATATACATCTGCACATTAAAAAAATCAAAGTGATATTAAAAACAAAACACACGTGGTGTACAATTAGATGCTGAAGTTTACACAAACTAATAATTTTCTATTAAAACGTACACACACACACGCACGCACACATGCACACTAGCACGCACACACGCATACACACACAAATATATACATAAAACATTAACAATAAGCACACGCATATGATTGCGTAAATCAGTCGTGATTTCCAAACCTTTGCCTAGCGCATATTATCAATCTTGTATAATAACGTAAATGTTTGCATGCATGCGTATATGCATGTATGTATGCCTGTGTAATAGGCTCTCTTTATATAAAAATTATTTTAAGTAGTAATGATAAGAAAACAACAACAACAACAATAATAATGATAATAATAACAAAATAATAATAATAAAAATACGGGCAATAAATATAACAGCAGTTGTAACGACGTAGATAATAAAATATGAGAATAAGAAAAAAAAATTTAAAAATAAGAAAAAAAAAATGTCAGCTGCTTATAATTGTCATCATTCATTACGTCACTTCTTCACGCCTGGGGCTGGCTTGGCGGTTTTCTATTTTCTCACCTCATCGTCAGTGAGGACGACGACGACGATGGTGGGGGTGATGGCGGTGATAGGGATGATGGTGGTGGTGATGATGATGACGGTGGTGATGATGATGGTGATGGTG